AAATAGAACTGTTTGGCCATAATGACCATCATTATGTTTGGAGGAAAAAGGGTGAGCTTGCAAGCCAAAGCACACCATCCCAACCGTGAAGCACGGGGGTGGCAGCATCATGCTGTGGGGGTGCTTTGCTGCAGGAGGGACTGGTTCACTTCACAAAATAGATGGCATCATGAGGAAGGAAAATGATGTAGATATATTAAACAACATCTCAAGACATCAGTCAGGAAGATAAAGCTTGGGGACAATGACCCCAAGCATACTTCCAAAGTTGTGGCAAAATGCCTTAAGGACAACAAAGTCAAGGTATTGGAGTGGCCATCGCAAAGCCCTGACCTCAATCCTATAGAACATTTGAGTTGAGGGCAGACCTGAAAAGGCGTGTGCAAGCAAGGAGGCCTACAAACCTGACTCAGTTACACCAGCTGTGTCAGGAGGAATGGGCCAAAATTCACCCAACTTATTGTGGGAAGCTTGTGGAAGGCTACCCGAAACGTTTGACCCAAGTTAAACAATTTAAAGGCAATGCTACCAAATACTAATTGAGTGTATGTAAACTTCTGACCCACTGGGAATGCGATGAAAGAAATAAAAGTTGAAATAAATCATTCTCTCTACTATTATTCTGACATTTCACATTCTTAAAATAAAGTGGTGATCCTAACTGACAAAGACAGGGAATTTTTACTAGGATTAAATGTCAGGAATTGTGAAAAACTGAGTTTAAATGTATTTGGCTAAGGTGTATGTAAACTTCAGAGTTCAAATGATGTCAATTAGCCTATCAGAAGCTTCTAAAGCCATGACATCATTTTCTGGAATTTTCCAAGCTGTTTAAAGGCACAGTCAACTTAATGTTTATGTTTATTTGTATTATTTTTTTGTTTTATTTTACCTTTATTTAACTAGGCAAGTCAGTTAAGAATAAATTCTTATTTACAATGACGGCCTACACCGGTCAAACCCGGACGACGCTGGGCCAACTGTGCGCCGCCCTATTGGACTCCCAATCACCGTCAGTTGTGATACAGCCTGAAATCGAACCAGGGGGTCTGTAGTGACGCCTCAAGCACTGAGATGCAGTGCCTTAGACCACTTCTGACCCACTGGAATTGTGATACAGTGAATTATAAGTGAAATAATCTGTCTGTAAGTAATTGTTGGAAAAATTACTTGGGTCATGCACAAAGTAGATGTCCTAACCGACTTGCCAAAACTTAGTTTGTTAACAAGAAATTTGTTGAGTGGTTGAAAAACGAGTTTTAATGACTCCAACCTAAGTGTATAAAAATGTCCGGCTTCAACTGTATATATATATATATATATATATATATATATATATTATTATTATTTTTTTTTAAATTATTTTTTATTAAATGGAAACACGAGTTTGGCCACGTGACACCCACTCACAAAGTGAGAGAGAAACAGAAAGAGAGAGAAAGAGATAGCGAGAAAGAGAGAGAAAGAGAGCAGTCATGGCTCCTTTCCTCCTTAGTCAAACTGTTTTCCTACGATAACCCGTCCAGGATGGAAGTGTGATGGGGGTAAACCTGACAACTGTGCTTTAAATAAGACCTATTCTGCAGCAGACATTGAGGGCCTACTGTCGTATCACACTTCCCGAGGGGCCTCAGGGGCCCTTTCAGTATAAGTGGCACTAATAGGCGCCATGTTTGACATCGTCATAGAAACAAGACGGAGCGGGATGGACACGGCTAATGAGGCCAGAGGGGGCCCCTCCTTCCCCTGACCAGACGTGTCAATCACAGAGGTAATTATATATCATCCCCCACACCCATCCCTCTATCCCCTCTTCCAACCACGATCCCTCCTTCCCTGCTGTAGTGAAGGACAGGGACACTGAGATCTCCACTCTGGAATGACAACTTTTATCATAATCAGAGGTGTAATATCTGGGAGTGTGGGCTAGTACTACAGTATTGATGGAGATGCTACATTTTACATTTACGTCATTTAGCAGACGCTCTTATCCAGAGCGACTTACAGTTAGTGAATACATATTTTTTTTTATACTGGCCCCCCGTGGGAATCGAACCCACAACCCTGACGTTGCAAACGCCATGCTCTATCAACTGAGCTACATCCCTGCCGGCCATTCCCTCCCCTACCCTGGACGACGCTGGGCCAATTGTGCGCCGCCCATGAGTCTCCCGGTCGCGGCCGGCTGCGACAGAGCCTGGATTCGAACCAGGATCTAGTGGGACAGTTAGCACTGTGATGCAGTGCCTTAGACCACTGCGCCACTCAAGGTATTTCACAGTGGGAGAACAGGCTAGGTAGAGTACAAGGACAAAAAACACGGCCGGCAACAGCTACAGTACACTTCCTGCAAGCTAATATTTTAACTATGTACTAAATCAAAACTTTTACAGTACTAATAATGATAGCCATAAGTACATTACTATGATGATTGTTGGCATCAATGTCTCATTGACTATAAGAGTGACATCTAGTTATATGTGTAGACCTATGTGTGGCTGTCATCTGGTAATATTACATATGGAAATACAGGTAACTGCCAAAATACAGGAAACACTTAAGTAAATGAGGGTTCTGGTGGCTCTGTTATGGTGTGGGGTGTTTTTCATGGCTTGGTTTATGTCCACTCAACCCCTTAGAGGGCAAGGTAAATGCCAATAAATACACAGCCATTCTGAGTGATAAACTTCAACCTACGGTGAAGCATTTATATCCTGATGGGAGTGGTCTCTTCCAGAATGACAATACTCCCATACACAGGGCACGAGTGGTCACTGAATGGTTTGATGAGCGTGAAAATGATGTAAACCATATTTCATGGCCGTCTCAGTCACCAGATCTCAACCCAATTGAACACTTATGGGAGATTCTGGAGCGGTGCCTGAGACAGCGTTTTCCACCACCAACAAAACACTAAATTATGGAATTTCTTGTGGAAGAATGGTGTCGCATTCCTCCAATAGAGTTCCAGACACTTGTAGAATCTATGCCAAGGCGCATTGAAGCTGTTCTGGTGGCTCAGCGCCCTATTAAGACACTTTATGTTGGCGTTTCCTTTATTTTGGCAGTTAATTTTTTTATTTACCTAGGCAAGTCAGTTAAGAACATATTCTTATTTACAATGACGGCCTACACCAGAAACACGCTGGGCCAATTGTGCGCCGCCCTATGGGACTCCCAATCACAGACGGATTGTGATACAGCCTGGAATCGAACCAGGGTCTGTTGTGAAGCCTCTAGTACTGAGATGCAGTGCCTTAGACCGCTGCACCACTCGGGAGCCAGTTACCTGTATGTGTGCATGTGGAAACGTACGCAAAACAACACAATGTCCAGCACTCTAGTAATATTAAATATAGACTGATGTATGCATGTGGATCCATCTTCATAGACAAAACAAACAACACAACAACTTTCAACAGAGTAGCACTAGTATGATAAACGACCACTGAGAAACCAGACTTCCCTCAGTACATGCACTCGGTCTCCCCGCAGTCAGCCTTTTACAAACTTTCAATACGCATTAATGAAGTTTCTGCAATCTATTAGAAATATGGATCCACTGCTGAATCAGAGAGTCAGAGGCTCTGAATAGGGTGGGAATTGGGGGAGTTAAGTGTTGGCAGAGTGCTAATACATACACACACAGACACACACACACACACACACACACACACACACACACACACACACCGCTAGGCTAACAGAAAGGAGCAGCATCATCATGACCATTACATTACCTAAATCATCTAGCTAACACTCCCTCCCTCCATCCCTCCATCTCTTCCTCCCTCCCTCCTACCACTTACTCCTTCAAAAGCTATTTATAGCTCTGAGTAAGTAGGGAATCAGATAGTTCATCATTGGGCTGTTGTTGATTTGTAGGCCTACCACTCAGAGTATTAATTGTGTTAGGCAAGTAAGGATGTTCTATAATATTCAGTGTTGAAGTGCATGCCTCTGGGAGATGGACTAAATCAAAAACCTAACACTAAATGGCTAAGTTTAACTCGATTTTGATTGAAGGAAAGATTGTCCAGATTGAATCTAACTGACTGAACTGAAATTACTCCCATTAGGCTAAAGTGGGAAACAATTGTTTTTATTCTGGTGAATAATATCCTTTCTTTGAGAGAGAGAAAGATAAAGTGAGAGAATACTGATGAAGGGCAATTAATTATTTGACGAGACCAAGGAGAAGAGTAAAAGAATGTTGCTTTCACTCAGTCTCTCTGTTCCCTGTTGAGCTCAAAGTACTTAGTGAATGATTTCTCTTTCAGAGTCTTTGAGGCCTCTGGGCTTCTGAAGCCCAACACTCCAGGGTATGTGACAATAATACTTAGGACTCTTACAAAGTACTTTGGTCAGAATTATATCTAAAATCTTTTTCAGAGGAATAGTCTGTCTCTTCCCCAAAATTTTTATTAAAGTGAAACTTTGAAGCGCTACATACAGCATGACTTCAGTTTAAAGTTGTTTGTGATTAGCACACGCATGCATACTCAGAGGGTTAAGCTAGTTAAAACAACGTAATGGAAAACTGGATTGGTGTCATTTTAACCAGTTTTACTCACTGGGTATGACCATCAATTTCAATACTAAGCCCATTTTGTAAACAGTTATCACACATGTTAGGAGCAGCAGTAGTAGTAACATTGTTAATCACTACTGACTCTGAAGATCAGACCCATATCTCACTCCTCTACCTCCCTCCATCACACCTGCCAGTGTCTGGGCAATAAACTGGGGATTCATCCTGAGAAAGAAGGGAAGGAAGGAGGGGGGACGATCCACAATGAATGTTAATGTAATGACAATTGAATGTTAATGTAATGACATAGGGACACACTATTAGGCTATTACCAGTCCAGTGGTGTCAGTGATAGGTGTCATCCCACATGCACACACACACACACACACACACACACACAGACACATGTGAGCACACAAACACATACACACACACACACACACACACACACAATGTGAACACTTACCTCGTACAGGTCCAGCATCTGGTTGCCCCCCAGGCCCCGGGTGGTCTTGACGTTCTCCATGGCCAGGGTGAAGAGGATGCCCCGGGTGTCGGAGAGGTACAGGTTGTAGGTGTCGTTCTGGTTCCACTCCTGCACCGCCGCGAAGACCTGGTGCTCGTCTGTGCTGACGATGTGGAGATCCTGGTGGCAGAGGATGGTGGGTTGGAGAGTTTAGAGGATTTATCAAGAGATGATGGATCACATGGGTGGGGGTTGTAACAAGCTGCCGAGTACGTGTTGGGTGTCACAAGATCAGGTCTGATGTGCACATTGAACGTTTAACACTATGGCTGCCAATGTACTCTACACACCATAGTGTCTTTTAACAGCTGCAGTAGAAGAGTTAAGACTACATGAGTGAAACTACACACTATGAGACTACACACCATTGTGTAGTAATGCTACAGAGACAGTGGCTTGCGAAAGTATTCACCCCACTTTGCATTTTTCCTATTTTGTTGCCTTAAAACTTGGAATAAAATTTGATTTTTGGGGGGGTTTGTATCATTTGATTTACACAACATGCCTACCACTTTGAAGATGTAAAATATTTTTTATTGTGAAACATACAAGAAATAAGACAAAAAAACAGAGAACTTGAGCGTGCATAGCTATTCACCCCCCCCCCCCCCCCCCCCCCCCCAAAGTCAATACTTTGTAGAGCCACCTTTTGCAGCAATTACAGCTGCAAGTCTCTTGGGGTATGTCTCAATGAGCTTGGCATATCTAGCCACTGGGATTTTTGCCCATTCTTCAAGGCAAAACTGCTCCAGCTCCTTCAAGTTGGATGGGTTCCACTGGTGTACAACAATCTTTAAGTCATACCACAGATTCTCAATTGGATTGAGGTCTGGGCTTTGACTAGGCCATTCCAAGACATTTAAATGTTTCCCCTTAAACCACTCGAGTGTTGCTTTAACAGTATGCTTAGGGTCATTGTCCTACTGGAAGGTGAACCTCCGTCCCAGTCTCAAATCTCTGGAAGACTGAAACAAGTTTCCCTCAAGAATTTCCCTGTATTTAGCGCCATCCATCATTCCTTCAATTCTGACCAGTTTCCCAGTACCTGCCGATGTAAAACATCGCCACAGCATGACGCTGCCACCACCATGCTTAATTGTGGGGATGGTGTTCTCGGGGGTGATGAGAGGTGTTGGGTTTGCGCCAGACATAGCGTTTTCCTTGATGGCCAAAAAGCACAATTTTAGTCTCATCTGACCAGAATACCTTCTTCCATATGTTTGGGGAGTCTCCCACATGCCTTTTGGCGAACACCAAACGTGTTTGCTTATTTTTTTATTTTAGCAATGGCTTTTTTTCTGGCCATTCTTCCGTAAAGCCCAGCTCTGTGGAGTGTACGGCTTAAAGTGGTCCTATGGACAGATACTCCAATCCCCCCGCTGTGGAGCTTTGCAGCTCCTTCAGGGTTATCTTTGGTGTCTTTGTTGCCTCTCTGATTAATGCCCTCCTTGCCTGGTCCGTGAATTTTGGTGGGCGGCCCTCTTTTGGCAGGTTTGTTGTGGTGCCATATTCTTTCCATTTTTTAATAATGGATTTAATGGTGCTCCGTGGGATGTTCAAAGTTTCAGATATTTTTTTATAACCCAAACCTGATCTGTACTTCTCCACAACTTTGTCTTTGACCTGTTTGGAGAGCTCCTTGGTCTTCATGGTGCCGCTTGCTTGGTGGTGCCCCTTGCTTAGGGGTGTTGCAGACTATGGGGCCTTTCAGAACAGGTGTATATATACTGTGATCATGTGACAGATCACGTGACACTTAGATTGCACACAGGTGGACTTTATTTTACTAATTATGTGACTTCTGAAGGTAATTTGTTGCACCAGATCGTATTTAGGGGTTTCATAGCAAAGGGGGTGAATACATATACACGCACCACTTTTCCGTTATTTATTTTTTAGAAGTTATTTTTTTCACTTCACCAATTCTGACTATTTTGTGTATGTCCATTACATGAAATCCAAATAAAAATCAATTTAAATTACAGGTTGTAATGCAACAAAATAGGAAAAACGGCAACGGGGATGAATACTTTTGCAAGGCACTGTATTTCTACAGCTAAATCATTTTGTTGCAGGGAGGAAACAAGGGGGGAAATAGTTGGTTACTTCAAATCAAATCAAATGTTATTTGTCACATGCGCCGTATACATCAGTTTTAGACTTTACCGTGAAATGCTTACTTACGAGCCCTTTCACAACAATGCAGAGTTAAATGTAAGAAATATTTGCTAAATTTTAAAAAGTATGCAATCTGAATAATTGATCTACTGTATGTATCTCCGGAGGCATGTGTTTATTACTGTAAAATTGTAAGGACAGATGCTGGGAGACGAGAAGCAAGTACAGGGAGTGAACATTTTATGAAAAAACAGACAGGAACAAAACACTGACAGCGTCTGGACAACGGAAACGAAACAACATTAATGCAGACACGGGGATCAAACTGAGGAACAGACAGATATAGGGGAGGTAACCAAACAGTGATGAAGTTCAGGTGAGTCCAATGAAGCAAAGATGCGCGTAATGATGGTGACAGGTGTGCGTAATGATGGGCAGCCTGGCATAAATGTATTCATCTTGCAACCCTCACCCAAGTAAACATACATAACATTGTTTATGATGTAAAGATGTATACTTCATTGTCAGAGAGGGACATTGACACATAAGGAATTTAAATGGCTATTTCCGGATTTTTCTATTGAGAAAATCTCCTGGCTAGCATACAGAGGAAACTGCTCCTTTCACGTCCTCTCCTGGTGTCAATGCCCTTTGTGGTTTTGGAGGTAGACTTGGGTAAATATCTCATAGGGACAATCAATAGCCTCACTATTCTCTGTCAAGATAAATCTTTAACTCTCCCAAGCAATGCTCAGTGGCCTGTCATTGGAAAGTCATCCTTAATGAAACCAGCGCCTCAGCAAGCAAACACTTGAGCTGTTAGCTGCTGTTAGCTGCTGTTAGCCTATGCAGTACAAACACAGCCAGCAGGGAAGAAAGCATTAGAAACCTGTAATTAGAGCACAGGCTTCGGAGGCTATCAGGATAGGAGAACAATTTTTCGACAACAAAAGTGTGATTGTCCTAGCGTCCTCTTTCATAATTCCATTAATCGAGAATATAACCACAAGACAAGCTGCTGGCTTTCTGGGTAGAAAAAGGGGAGAGGTGAAATAGGCTCATTATTATATGACAGAACCAAATAGGCCTCTTAGTGTGCTAAGGAATGAACAGTGGGCACAGTGAGTTAAGAGGCTCAAAGTCGATGGAGAGTAACCAGGGGCGGTTTTGAACTGAAAGTTTTTCATTACCCCCTTTCACAGAATCCGTTCGGCTGTGACACAACACGAAAAAACATTGTAGGTTCCCTGAATTGAAGATGCAGTTGGAGATTCAAGTTGAGTGGGTGTGTGTTTAGGTAGGGAGATGTATGAGTGTGGTAAAAACATGGTTGAGGGATCTGGTAGACCACAGATCTTTATTTTCAGGTCATTATTCTGGCAGAATGAAGCCAATCATGTGTAGGGCCTGGAATTTTCCTGAAAATGTGACCTAATGAAGAAGTCTTGGCCCTGCGTAGGCTATAACTACATGGCAGAGTTTTTTCAAGACATCAAGTGTAGGACTAGGAGTTCTTCCTGAACTCCTGACATAGGCTACTAGAGCCTAGAGTTTTCCTGGTCAAGCCACTTGCTCCAGGGAAAACTCCTGTCTCTAATTGAAATAGTTAGGACCAGGAATTTTCCCTGACCATGTGACCTGACCTGTAAAAACTCTTGGCCCTAATTCATGTTCTAATAGAAAGACATCGGTAACTCTCCCCTTCAAATACTTCAAATAACTAGGTAGGACTTTGGAGTTACATTTGGATGGAAAAGTTATTTATACTGGACTGGATTGGTGGGGTAATTATTCCTATCTTCCTGTTTATTTTTAAATTCATGCATCCTCATTTACACAATGTCAAAGTAAATAACATAACCCCAAAACTGCACCAGCATTACTAGGAATTCAGTACATTACCATTTTAGATTTCTCTCTCTCGCACAAATTATGATTTATATGACATACTGGGGGACTGATGTGGATAAATATAAAACTCTCTAGGTTTCACATCTGAATCAGAATAGTGTGCAAATGCAGACTCTCGAACGAAGGGTCAAACAAAAGGTTAGCATATTTTAAATATGTCATGCGAGGTTCCTTTTCTTGATACAGAATGTGTCTAAATAGTTTTTTTGACAATATAAATTATGGAAACAGTTAGAAATAAAATACCCATGCAGCATAGAGACTGGTCAAGGTTCAGAGGTGAGAATGACATGAATACAATATACACTGTACATATTCAGATTGCAAAATGAACAATTAAAAAACTTTGTGTCTTTCAATGGTGCCCATTTCTATCCTAATCAAGAACATCCTGCCATTAATAAAATGTGTCAACATAACAATTAATCAGAAATATTAATATTTTTTATTAATTACAGTTGAATCACTCTATCATACCATTTCCTCACACCTGAGGATCAACCAGTTGTTGCATGTGGTGCTGTAAAATATGCTAATCTCCTCCCAGTCCTAGCCAAACCAAGTTGTGCGTAACACATAACACATGCCCATATCACTCAAGGCTAACGATGCGCATCCTACGCAATGCATCATGGTCTACATACAATATGGTACAATCTATTCTCCTCAGACAGAGCCTTACCTGAATAAACATATAGTCATCTTGGACCACCAGTGAGCTGATGTCAATGTATCCAGGGAAGGGGTAGTTTCTGTTGGGCTCTGAGCACGTTAGAGCCCGGCATGTTATATACTGTATACCTGCAAGATGAGGAGATAGAGATTACTGGATATCTGGATTCACCCAGCTGTGGATCATGTCCCCTATTCCTGGGAAGGTGAGGATGCCTGGAAACCGAGGCTATGTGTCTGTAAGAATTGAACTTGAGGGCACTATTGTATGGGTTGTGATTGACATACAATAGAGGAGATAGCATTAAACTTGTGACTTGTATACTGACTGTGTATAAACATACACTACCGGTCAAAAGTTTTAGAACATCTAATCAATGTTTTTTCTTTATTTTTACTATTTTATACATTGTAGAATAACAGTGACGACATCAAAACTATGAAAAAAACACATATGGTATCATGTAGTATCCAAATAAAGTGTTAAACATATCAAATTATATTTTAGATTTTAGATTCTTCAAATAGCCACCCTTTGCCTTGATGACAGCTTTGCAAACTCTTGGCATTCTCTCAACCAGCTTCACCTGGAATGCTTTTCCAACAGTCTTGAATAAGTTCTCACATATGCTGAGCACTTGTTGGCTGCTTTTCCTTCACTCTGCCATCCGACTCATCCCAAACCATCTCAATTTGGTTGAGGTTGGGGGATTGTGGAGGCCAGGTCATCTGATGCAGCACTCAATCACTCTCCTTCTTGGTCAAATAGCCCTTACACAGCCTGTAGGTGTGTTGGGTCATTGTCCTGTTGAAAAACAAATGATAGTCCCACTAAGCCCAAACCAGATGGGATGGCGTATCGCTGCAGAATGCTGTGGTAGTCATGCTGGTTAAGTGTGCCTTGAATTCTAAATAAATCACAGACAGTTTCACCAGCAAAGCACCACGACACCATAACACCTCCTCTTCCATGCTTTACGGTAGGAAATACACATGCGGAGATAATCCGTTCACCCACACCGCGTCTCACAAAGACATTGCAGACATCTCAAAATTTGGACTCCAGACCAAAGGATACATTTCCACCGGTCTAATGTCCATTGCTCGTGTTTCTTGGCCCAAGCAAGTCTCTTCTTATTATTGGTGTCCTTTAGTAGTGGTTTCTTTGCAGAAATTCAACCACGAAGGCCTGATTCACACAGTCTCATCTGAACAGTTGATGTTGAGATGTTTCTGTTACTTGAACTCTGTGAAGCATTTATGTGGGCTGCAATTTCTGAGGTTGGTGAATATAATGAACTTATCCTCTGCAGAGGTAACTCTGGGTCTTACATTCCTGTGGAAGTCCTCATGAGAGCCAGTTTCATCATAGCGCTTGATGGTTTTTGCAACTGCCCTTGAAGAAACTTTCAAAGTTCTTGAAATGTTCCGTATTGACTGACCTTCATGTCTTAAAGTAATGATGGACTGTCAATTCTCTTTGCTTATTTGAGCTGTTCTTGCCATAATATGAACTTGTTTTTTTACCAAATAGGGCTATCTTCTGTATACCCACCCTACCTTGTCACAACACAACTGATTGGCTCAAACGCATTAAGAAGGAAAGAAATTGTACAAATTAACTATTAAGAAGGCACACCTGTTAATTGAAATGCATTCCAGGTGACTACCTCATGAAGCTGGTTTAGAGAATGCCAAGAGTGTGCAAAGCTGTCATCAAGGCAAAGGGTGGCTATTTGAAAAATCTCAAATAAAAAATGTATTTTGATTTGTTTAACACTATTTTGGTTACTACATGATTCCATATGTGTTATTTCATAGTTTTGATGTCTTCACTATTATTCTACAATGTAGACAATAGTAAATACAAAGACAAAACCTTGAGTGAGTAGGTGTTCTAAAACTTTTGACGGGTAGAGTATACAGTTGAAGCCGGAAGTTTACATACACCTTTGCCAAATACATTTAAACTCAGTTTTTCACAATTCCTGACATTTAATCCTAGTAAAAATTCCCTGTCTTAGGTCAGTTAGGATCCAACTTTATTTTAAGAATGTGAAATGTCAGAATAATAGTAGAGAGAATTATTTATTTCAGATTTTATTTATTTAATCACATTCCCAGTGGGTCAGAAGTTTACATACACTCAATTAGTATTTGGTAGCATTACCTTTAAATTGTTTAACTTGGGTCAAACATTTCGTGTAGCCTTCCACAAGCTTCCCACAATAAGTTGCGTGCATTTTGGTCCATTCCTCCTGACAGAGCTGGTGTAACTGAGTCAGGTTTGTAGGCCTCCTTGCTCGCACACACTTTTTCAGTTCTGCACACAAATGTTCTATAGGATTGAGGTCAGGGCTTTGTGATGGCCACTCCAATAACTTGACTTTGTTGTCCTTAAGCCATTTTGCCACAACTTTGGAAGTACAGTGGGGAAAAAAAGTATTTAGTCAGCCACCAATTGTGCAAGTTCTCCCACTTAAAAAGATGAGAGAGGCCTGTAATTTTCATCATAGGTACACGTCAACTATGACAGACAGAATGAGGGAAAAAAATCCAGAAAATCACATTGTAGGATTTTTTATGAATTTATTTGCAAATTATGGTGGAAAATAAGTATTCGGTCAATAACAAAAGTTTGATATACCCTTTGTTGGCAATGACACAGGTCAAACGTTTTCTGTAAGTCTTCACAAGGTTTTCACACACTGTTGCTGGTATTTTGGCCCATTCCTCCATGCAGATCTCCTCTAGAGCAGTGATGTTTTGGGGCTGTCGCTGGGCAACACGGACTTTCAACTCCCTCCAAATATTTTCTATGGGGTTGAGATCTGGAGACTGGCTAGGCCACTCCAGGACCTTGAAATGCTTCTTACGAAGCCACTCCTTCGTTGCCCGGGTGGTGTGTTTGGGATCATTGTCATGCTGAAAGACCCAGCCACATTTCATCTTCAATGCCCTTGCTGATGGAAGGAGGTTTTCACTCAAAATCTCACGATACATGGCCCCATTCATTCTTTCCTTTACACGGATCAGTCGTCCTCGTCCCTTTGCAGAAAAACAGCCCCAAAGCATGATGTTTCCACCCCCATGCTTCACAGTAGGTATGGTGTTCTTTGGATGCAACTCAGCATTCTTTGTCCTCCAAACACGACGAGTTGAGTTTTTACCAAAAAGTTCTATTCTGGTTTCATCTGACCATATGACATTCTCCCAATCCTCTTCTGGATCATCCAAATGCACTCTAGCAAACTTCAGACGGGCCTGGACATGTACATGTACTCAAAAAATTATAAAAAATGAATGACGCAAAAGTGGTGCGTGCATATGTATTCACCCTCTTTGCTATGAAGTCCCTAAATAAGATCTGGTGCAACCAATTACCTTCAGAAGTCACATAATTAGTTAAATAAAGTCCACCTGTGTGCAATCTAATTGTCACATGATCTGTCACATGATCTCAGTATATATACACCTGCTCTGAAAGCCCCCAGAGTCTGCAACACCACTAAGCAAGGGGCACCACCAAGCAAGCGGCACCATGAAGACTAAGGAGCTCTCCAAACAGGTCAGGGACAAAGTTGTGGAGAAGAACAGATCAGGGTTGGGTTATAAAAAAAAAAATCAGAAACTTTGAGCATCCCATGGAGCACCATTAAATCCATTATAAAAAAATTGAAAGAATATGGCACCACAACAAATCTGCCAAGAGAGGGCCGCCCACCAAAACTCACGGACCAGGCAAGGAGGGCATTAATCAGAGAGGCAACAAAGAGACTAAAGATAACCCTGAAGGAGCTGCAAAGCTCCACAGTAGAGATTGGAGTATCTGTCCATAGGACCACTTTAAGCCGTACACTCCACAGAGCTGAGCTTTACGGAAGAGTGACTAGAAAAAAGCCATTGCTGTGACGAGTACTGAGTATACGAAGAGGCAGGATGCAGACGCAGGAATTAACAAGGTCTTGGTTTACTTAACAATGATAAAAATAAATAACAAATAGAGTAAACGACATGAAGCTTAACAATCACACACAACATCATACAGAACAGTCCAGGGCTAAATAGGGGTGGTGATGAGATGATGAGGTGCAGGTGATTACGGTGCGTTGGGTTTAAATTCCGGTGTTGCTGAAGCAGTGCGCTCAGACCGGTGGCTCAGTTGACCGGAGAATCAGAGCGCCAGAGGGGAGCAACGGGAGGAGACGTGACAATTGCTTAAAGAAAAAAATATGCAAACACTTTTGGTGTTCGCCAAAAGGCATGTGGGAGACTCCCAACCATATGGAAGAAGGTACTCTGGTCAGATGAGACTAAAATTGAGCTTTTTGGCCATGAAGGAAAACGCTATGTCTGGCGCAAACCCAACACCTCTCATCACCCGAGATCACCATCCCCACAGTGAAGCATGGTGGTGGCAGCATGTATTGACTTTGGGGGGGTGAATAGTTATGCACGCTCAAGTTTTCTGTTTTTTTGTCTAATTTCTTGTTTGTTTCACCCAAAAAATTATTTTGCATCTTCAAAGTGGTAGGCATGTTGTGTAAATCAAATCATACAAACCCCCCAATTTTTTTATATTCCAGGTTTTAAGGCAACAAAATAGAAAAAATGCAAAGGGGGGTGAATACCTTAGCAAGCCACAGTATGTTGTGATTTCCATTCTATAATGGTGATCGTTTCATTCACACAGTATGTAACGTTCTATGTTTGTCCCTATTCAACATTACCAACTATGATCATTCTCTGTGTACAGAAAAGTAAACTGTCTCTGATTCCGGGGCTCTAACAACAGCAGCAGCAGAAAGCTAGAATAAACAATCTCACAATTTCACCTATGGAGGACATTAGGTGGCATTGCCGGGGTGAGTTATGGAGCTGACACTCCCAGAGTGAGAGGGATGAGATGGAAAGGCTATATTAATCAAGTATCATGCACTGCATTTATCAGTGGGGTAATCCATTGTCACTCCCCTAGGACACGACGCTCTAAACCCAGCGTGGAATTTATTCCTTGACAGACTGTCACTCTCTTCTATCGTTCGAGGGCTGATAATTGGACTGTGAATGTGGGGCCTTTCTCTGCAGTGTGTGACAGAGAGAGAGAAAGAGAGGTATGTGTGTGTG